CGGGGGGGGGGGGGGGGAGAAAGGCCTGCAGAAGGAACAAAAGAATTCATAATCTTCCATAGGCACATCTTATTACTGTGTAAATCGTATGCAATAATTGATTTTCATCAACTAACCCAATGCAGCTATCAATAGAATGGAAAAGAGTATGTTCTAAGATACAAACCAAACTCTGCTTGCATTTGAACTTGTTATCACAACTGGGAGAGATTATATTACTAAAGAGAAAATGTCCCCTCTGAAAATCCTCAAGATTTCAAATTTTCCCAGTAAGTGTTCAGCTGCTTACACAATGAAGAGAGATATGGTCTTTTTTTCACATTTGGATATAAGAAATTGGCGTATCATTCATTATCAAATTTTGACAGACAAGATAGTTAAAATCATGCTTTGACGACACTCCCTGGGAGGTATCAAAGTAAATTTCCATCAGAGCAATTCAGTCTTACCACTCTGTGGAGATACAGGAAGCTTTGACTTTATTCAATTCATCTTGAATAGCCTGTTTGGCTCGGATTTCAGCATCAAGAGCAGACTGTAGTTCCAACCTTGCAGACATATCCAGTTTTGCAAAGCGGCGCATCTTCCAGGGCATGTCCTAGTAAAGAATGAAAAAAGGGAGAAGAAAGAGTAAGAGGAAAGAAGGCAGAAAATGAGGAACGTAACTAATTTCAACAATTACATTTCTCAGTCTACTATGTTCTTAACATAAGAGTTCATTAATTCCAAAGGAATCTAAAATTAAAAAAAATTAAGAGTATTGTTATTAGTATTATTATTTTTAAACTCAAGTACTAAATAGGCAAGATGAATGTCTTATGCTGTCATGATCTCAAAAGCAAGAGATTCTGTGAATTCAAGTTTTGATGTGCCTCAATTCAAATGAGCGCTATGAAGGACATTCACATTTCAGAAGTGAAAGATTTTCAGGCTTTCATGACCCAAAGTATAGATTTCCTTCAACAAATTCATGTATGATTATAAAGTAGCGACTTGAACAATATAATAGATAAAATCACATTATAAAGATCTTGGTGTTTAATTAACTGATAAACAATAAATTTGCTATTCAGTTATTCAGAAGGGAAGCTCTAGGAAAGTTTAACTTTTGACTAACACAGGCTCTACAGACAGGTTATTACTGCAGCTGAAACTATCGAATTAGTGTTCTTTGAAACAAACAAACAACAAAAAAAGTGACATATAGAAGTAGGGTCTTACTGTAGCTCTTGCACCCAAACTGGAGTTCCTCAGGGCTTCTAGTTCTTCTGTCATTTTAGAGGCCAAGGCTTGAAGATAACCTCGAGCATCTTTTTCATCACTTACCCTAAACAATTACATTAGAAGAAAAAGGTATTTTAACCAAAGAATCTGAAGAAAAAAAATAAAAGTCCCTTCAACAAAGTAGCAACCAGAAACAGAAAAAAGCAGAATACAAAACAAAAAATCATAAAACATAAGGAAACAAACAAAAAATACAGAAAGCCACACAGAACTAAGCCTTTGCTGTTTTGCAGTTCCATTAAACAGTATGCATCACTACGACAAGGAATAAAGATCGAAGAACTACATATTTAAGTAAGTAAAATATATGTCTCAGTATAAATGTCAGCTACCTGAAAGACTGGGAAAGAAATCTTTCAGGATTCAACCTATTTTTAGGGAGTAAATTAAGACAAAATTTATAACCAATAATTAACAATTCAACCATCCACATAACATTGGAACTAGTGGTTGACTTTACGGTATCAATTGACTATGAGAACTAGTAGTTCGAATCAATCAGTGATGTTATTTAAAGAAATACTAACTAAATAGGGAGAGTCTAATTCTAATGTTATTGAACAGCATAAGCCAGAAGAGGCACTATCATTCCCCAAGCTTGCTTTCTATCAAGACATGTTTTCTGGGTGTAAACATATCAAGGAGGAGACATGCCTGTTTTTCAGATTCTTTGATCATCCGTTACAAAGAAAAAAAACTTTCTGTGATTAATCACAGCAGAAGGTTCTTTCTTCACTTTGCCTCGGGTATTAGCATAGAAAAGAAAGTTGCTAAAAAATTACCTCTCTGAAAGTTAATAGCTTATGAAAAACCTAAAACAAACAAACGGGGGGGGGGGGAATAAAAAGAAGGAAAAAAAAAAAAAAAACCAAAACCTTACATGCCTGGCTCTGAACATACTCCTCTTGTTCTGCCCACAGAACACCGAACTCCGTTCTGCAGCACCAGGGCATACCCAAGTCTCTGAGCTGGTTTCAGAGGCCAGCAGTCTAATACCACAGCTTGATCACAGTTAGATCTATCAACACTAATCACAGAAATGTTTAGGATGTGCTCTAAGTAATGATCCTCAAATAGTTTTAAATAACTTTTAGGAAAGTGGGAAAATATTTTTTGCTACTTCATGGAAATTAACTTATCCTTGCCTCCTGATCGTTCCTTAGTAACCATAATCCTGAGTATGTTGGACTGGAGATGAGAGTTCTCCAGATGCTTTAATTTGTCTTTTAGTGACCTCTCTGCAGAAAGGGATTCCCCCTCTGTGCCTACAAAGCAATATAAAAGTTTCTCTGGTTGATATTGTGGGATTCATACACACAGTGAATATAGAAAAGGTGCTACTTGCAAGCTTACCATGAATGAATAAAAATAATAGAATGTTTCACTTCTAGTCGCCAGGAGGGAAGAAAGACAGAGAGCACATACTCTGAACTGCCACAGGCAAGGGAGGAGCAGAAGAGCTTTCCCACAGCGGCCTTAGGGCAAGATCACAATGCAAAAGCTAGGGGCTAAACATCTACAGGTTGCAGTGACTCCTGGGCGTGCAGTTTAAGAAAATTGCTTTAATACGGAGGAAGCTAATGCAAAACCAGTGATGATTTGCCACAAAATTCCCACCCAGCATGAAAAATAAGCACTCATTCATGCTTTGGGCTTTATCTTCTTTGTTTCCTGCCTACAATTTAGTTCAAGAGGTGGGGAGGAGCCTAGGAAAAAAAAAAAAAACCCACAACATGTCCTAACTCTATTAAAAGTCAGTGAGAGTTTTGATGTTAATGAGTCAGTATGTTTCCCAAGGTATACCAGAACTCAGAGGAAGCAGCACGGCAGCTTTTTTTTCCCACAACATTCTGGATAAAACACATTTTGATGACCCGCTACAGATAATCCTGGCCTATACAAACCACTTAGGGTAGAAGAGTGGGCAAAAGATGTGAGAAGTAGCATAAGATGCTTTTGGGGGGGGTGTGTGCATAACGAACTACATAGTAAAAAGAAAAGAGTGTAAGTAGGAATACAAAGAGTGTGAGGTTCTCAAGGTGAGAAAGTAAGTTTTCCTGATGTAGAAGAAGGGAAAAGAAATGTAGAAATTGGTGTTTGATCTTCTCTATTTTTAATGACATGTAAAATCTTTCAAGTAAAAAAGGGACAATGTCAGATTAAAAATAAAATAGAGTTGCTGCCTTATTTTTTGAACTTTTCTAATTAAAGATGAAAAACTTTAAATGTCCTATTTCTTTGTCCATGTTTATCATGCCATACAGATCCTTCCTCACGGAAGGTGAGAAAACACTTGGTTATTTGGTTTATGATGCACAGAAGCTTCAGGCTCTAAATTCTGAAAAGCTTCACATGCAATAACTTCAGAGAGGTGTTCCACAGGACATGCAGAAATCAAGAACATGAAAATATACATACAAAGTCAATTTTTGCTATCATCTATACGAGGTAAGACAGTAAATACAAGCAACACAGTTTAGAGCTGAGATACAGTTTTGGTGTCCACTAGATGGCAACAGTCTCTCGATAATGAGATTCCTTGATTAAACACGTGAACCCAAGAGTTCTTGCAGTTTTTTGATTTGTTACTGTTTTGCTGGTTTTTTTTTTTTCCTATTTGTTTGTTTGGCTTTTTTTTTTTTAAAATATAAGGCAAGGATAGTAAAGTTAATCTTACTAATGTTTCTCTCCTTGCCCCCTCCCTTCTCGCAGAGAGCCCTAACAAGCACAGCAGAAAACCTAAGGAAGGAAAGTTCTCTAGGTTCCACTCAGAGTAATTTCTTTCTTTATTGAAAATTTAGATTAGATGAACTGTTCTGTTTTCATACATAATGTAAGTGCCCTTGCAAGCTTAGTTCGTTAACTATAAAGAACCTAGGACAGCGATATAGTACAAATTCCTCTAAAATTTAATTTCACTTTTTAGTTGGAGCCAACATCATGACAACCTTCATATAACCATTGACCAATATCTGGTATGTTATTCATCAGGCTGCTAGGAACCTCAGATTCTCTGCGTCTCTCTGTCTGGGATACTTTACAATACAAAATGGACCCAGAGGATTGGAGATTTTTTGCTGAACAGGAGTGGTCTTGAAGCCCTGGGATCTTAGGCCAAGCTGCATCTTACCTGATTTAAAAACACCAAGGAAGTCAGTGGGCCGTGACTCCCATTTCTCCTGTAGTTTCTGAATGCTTTTAAATTTCTGTCTTCATATCACTATGCTCAAAGATTCCAACTTAATTATTTTCTTTGTCCCTTGCCCTCTCCAACAAAACTTTTTTAAAACTAGTTCTTGAAAAATTTTCAACATTTCACTCTGCTCTGAACCCTGAAATTTCCCCCTGCCCACGAGAGTTTCTATTTTATAGCTAATTAACCTCTGATTATTCTTACCTCAAACAACACATCTCAGAATTTTTCATGTTTTGAGTTTCTTACAGTTGAATTTGCCCAGAAAGTTTGCTAAACCTTTTCTACAATTTGTGTGTGCTTTCTTCTGAGAGCAACCAAATTTGGAAAAAAAAAAAACAAACCAAAAAAACAACCAAACAAAAAAAAACCCCAAACCCACAACAAAAACCCAACAACTTTGGGGCTTTTTTATGTTTCTTTTATGTTTCATATGATGCAGAAGTGTTTGGGTTTTGGGGGGGGTGTTAGTTTTTTTGGGGAGGGGGGTGTTTGGGTTTGTTTGGTTTTTTGTTTTTTAAGGAAACCAATAATTAAGATAAGATCAACCATAGTACAGTTGATTGGAAAGATATCTAGTCAACAAGGAGAATATTAACTGAATCTTCTGGTAAACAACAGTCACAGCTTTTGGCCAGCTGAATCTAAGCCTAACATCCACTCTACAGGTAAATCAGGTAGGATTTAGCTCATCCATATAAACATACTCAACAATACAGAATTTTTCATTTGAACTAGCTGTCTACGCTTCCTTTTCAATCAGTGGGGAGAAAAAGAGACTTCTACAGTACTAGTCATGGGATTTATTTTAGTTGTCTACCTTAGGACTTCTAAAACTAGGTTACATGAACCCCTCCCAGAGAGACTAATAAGTGAAGATTCTTGCCAAGTACTCTGGGAATCACTACCAAGATTTCCATCGACCTCCTTTCTGCAACAGAACAGAAATACTGTACCATGGCTATTTAAAAGATTGCTTTTTAAAGTGACTGCATTAACCTCCTTTGCAATGAATCTCTTTCCTATCTCCCATAGGAAAATTTATAGCTGACTATAAAGGCCTCAATATTTCTTACTCTTGTCAAGGAATGATGAGTGATTTGGCAAATATAAACTTGTCAATATAATAGCTCCATTAAAGCTGAATGATCTGTGAGTCTATTGCTACCACATTAGAATTTGCAATGAACGTTTGATTCAAGTGTTTATATTAAGATTTTGGTTATATTTATGGCAATTTGGGATAATAACAGCAAAAATAAAAAGGCTTTTGTACATTTGCCCTAAACAAGATGCAAGAGAGCACAGTACGAAAGAAGGGAAAGGCTAAAGGGAACATGATAGGCCATTAAAATTACTCGCAAGTTATAAAACCTGAAAGAAATAATCATTTAGAAGGGCCCAAGGAATCATAAAGAAAGTGACAATCTTAACCACCTAAAATGTGAACTTGAATAGTGGGGCAGATTTCCTGAGAGATATCTATTAGATGTCAAAGAACTCAAAGGAAGTAAGGGACTCCTTAGGCTTGTGCTACTTCAAACAGGGCTAGAACAAATCCCTTGAAGTACCACAGGCAGCTGAGCCAACTGTTTACAAAAGCAGTAATTAATTCCATCTACTGCCTCCTATCCTTCATGAATCATGGTACAAAAAGAAGATGGCAGGCAAACCCCATTTTTAAGAGGTGGAAGGTGTGCACCAAAAATCCGTTAGTTTTGAAGAGGGAACTTACAAGCTCTAACCTACTTTGTTAGCTCCAAGGCATTCTGTTGTCATACTGCTGAGGTGGACAGGTATGGATTTAAATTGCATGTTCTTCTGAGGAAAACATAGGCTTGTGACTGATTAAATAAGATTAGTTTTCTTCAAAATTAGTTTTTTCTTTCTTTTAAAATGTTTATCATTAGTACAGATGTTTAAATACTTCATATAGCACCCCATGTTCCACACCAAGAAACCCCCAGAGAAGAACACAGTGTCAGTATGTAGTGCTGAATTCTAAGGACAGCAGATGTACACGACCAGATTATCTGGCTAACACACGGAAAATCTAAACATAATAAGAAAAAAACGTGAGCCGAGATGTGCCCACACATGGCTGAAAAAAATTTAACATAAGCAGAGAAAAGTATGGAGAGAAAACTGAGATATGTACAGCGATTAAAAACTGGAAAAAGCCAGATTTTTTTTATCTCCTTAATGTTCGACCACAGTACTTCTATTTTTTTTTAATATAATTCTTTTCTTTTTAGTTCCGTACTTTTTAAAAGATACTATATTACCATAAGGGATCAGTAAAATGGTATCTTTCCTTCAGGAAGTTAGTCTTGCACGTTCCTGATCTTTTTTCATTAACTGTCTTTAGAGACAAAAAAACTCAGTCCCAAACCTCCTTTACCCTCCCCAGTGACATCTCTAATACGTGCAAGATGCTTTATCATATACCTGACCCACATCAGTAGTGCATCTTAAAATATTAAACACTCTCATAAATTGGAGAAGGGACATTCTTAATGGCTGTTGGTACATTTTTACATAGTGTTAAGTAAAACAATCCACAACTAATTCTGACTTGTCCTTCTCCAGAACTGCCAAGTTTTATGAGTGCTTTCACAGGTAAATCTGCAAAACGGGGTTTGGTTACCTTGGTGTATTAAGACAAATCAGCATTACCTTAAAACAATATAGAATGTGAAATAATAGACTTGTCTCTCTCGTTACCTTGATTTTTTCTGAATAAACATTTCTGATTGGCTAGAAATTAACTGTTCATTTAAACAACTTTTATGGTTTTGGTTTTTTTTTTTTTTTTTTAATTTTTTGTTGTAGGGTGTGTCTCCTACTCCCACAGTT